CGGAGTTCTTTCTTTGGCCTTGGTTATAGGACAACTCATGTTTTCCTGGCAGCTTGGGCGCTATGGAAGGATTGGGGGGGCCGCACTGGGTCCCGACTTCATGAATTGAGCAATGGCTGCTCGAAGATATATTTTCATCGAGTCGATGAACGGATCGCTCGACTCTTCTGAGTATAGGGAGACCGCGGTCTCGACAGCATTGATCGCAGCAGTGCAGATCATTATATTTTTTGCTGCTTGAGCTGCCCTGCGCTCTTCAGCTTCAATCATGGCTTGTAGTTCCGGGGGGCAGCCATTGATTTTTTGTTTCCTGCTTTCGCTGCAGGAAGGTTGTTGTTTTTCAGTCGCCACTGATGAGGGTTTGCTGGCGATCGCAGCAGGTGTGGCTTGATTAGCCTTATTCACCTCTGGAATTACTGCCTTCTTGACAGCAGGAGCAGCAATCTTCTTTGATGTTGAAATGACGGAGGTCACAGGGACCACATCATCATTTTTCTGAGCGACATTCCATCTGGATTTGTCGAGACCATCGATTATGTATTGGTCGATGACCATATCGCCCATTTCCACGTCTGGGTTTGTTGAGTCTGAGTCTTCCTGGAAGACTCTCAATCTTTCGGTCATCTCTGACTCCATCTTGTCTTGATCTATCGTATCGATCGATAGATTTCTTGCATCTAGGCGGTGTTGCAACCTGATTTTAATTTTCGCCATGGCTTTGTGCTGGCGCGCGGGGCGAGTGATTTTCGTAGGACCCGTCGCCATTTCGGAGACTCAGGGTCTTGCGACTATGATAATGATGAAATTAGCTTGTGAAACTATGAATTGAAGGGTTGAGGGGATGGGTAGGTGAATTTTTCATCGATTTCAAAAAATTGGTTGTTTTGTTTTGTTTATTTTGTCCTAAGCTAAAGCTATGTTTTCCACATTGGGTCAAGGACAGGCGGAGCCGGTAGGATTCCCTGTAATCTTTCCTACAGCCTAACTCGTTCCTACCTCGTGAATCGCTACCAAAAGTGCAGCTGATTAAACAGAGACGAAATATCAAGAAAATCAAAACAACTCCGAAAAAACCAGAAGATTCCTCCATAATGGACCCAGTCAATGTGCTCCTCACACATTCTCTCGTCTGTCACACCTTCCAAATGACAAATCTACTCCTTCTATGCTGAGAGCGAAAGATGAGTTAGCAGGCACCTTTGATCCAGCCGGTATCCTGCTAATTGTTAGTGGATGCCCCAGAAGGGGACATCGTCGAGGTTGCTGTGTCCTCAAACTTTTTCTTCAGATCCCAGCACTCCGAAACCTGTTGCCTCGGCCATTGCGGCATCCTTCGCCGCGGCGACGATCGCCTCTTCGGCCTTTTTGGCTGCAGCCCTAGCTCGAGCCGCCTCCGCGAACTTCCCTTGCTCGAGGTGGCGTATCCATGCGAGCTGCTCTTTTGTCACCGGCCCAGACTTTCTGGGTCTGACTTTGCAGTCCCGAGAATCCGATCGGTGGGGTCCCCCACAGTTGCGACACTTAGTGAGGGCCTTGCACTCGGCTTCCGAGTGCATGTTGGAGCCGCAGTTCCAGCAGACTGGAGCGCGGGAGCAACCACGAGTGGCGTGGAAGCCCAAACAGCGTTTACACTGTTCAATTTGTCGACGAGGCTTGTGAATGGTTGCCATACCAGACTCGTCGAAGAGGCGGAAGCCCGCACGAGGGGCGTTGTCCCGCGTGAAAAGGGCATGCCAGTTCTGATACGGTGCCCCAGGTCGACATGTCCCATGAGGTCGGACCTGGATTGGTATCGCGCCGGTCGTACCGAGAATCTTGGCAGAGACCCAGCTAGCATCGACCGCCCTGGTACCGCACACTGTAACTATACTTACAGGTACGTTCGGTATCTGTAAGGCGACAAGATCAGAAGATGCCTCGAGTTTGACGTTATGACTCGCCAGCTTCGAAGAGCCATCTAAAGTCTCTTGTCGTATTTTTTCGTTCTTTGCTAGCATAGCAAAGCCCGTTCTCACTCGGTGGAGTGAGGTTATTTCTTGGTTAAAGTAGCTGAATGTATACTCTAACTTAGTTCTCACGCTGCTTGTGGACAATTTTCGCCACGGGTGGTCCTTTTCAAGGCGGAGGAACAGTCGCTTGTCGACTTTCGCCTTGGGGGTTTCTTTTTGTTGGGCTTTGGCCGCAGGTCGCGGCACAGCCTTCACAGTTGGGCCTGCTTTTTGTTGCAGTCCATTTCTGGCCACCGTGGCCCAGGTGCTTTTGACAGGCAGAGCTGGGTCGGTGGGTATTGTTTGTCTCCTGGCGTCGGGAGCCCTTGGGAGAGGGTTCGTTGGGCGAGGAGGGAGAACGGGTGGCGTAGTGGCCGGGCCCGAGGCCATGTATTGCGCAATGGCGGCGCGTAGGTAGACTCTCATGGAGTCTACGAATTGTCTATTTGACCCGTTGGTCAAAGGGAGGAGGGTGGCTTCGACGCCAGAGATGGCGGCGGAGCAGAGGGCCAGATTTGCCGTTATTTCGGCGGCGCGTCGTTGTTCAGCTTCGACTATTGGTCGTAGCTCGAGGGGACACTCTGCTTTCGTGGCAGCTTTGGGCTGCGACGTTGATGTTGACGCTGCTATGGGTGCAGCATTTTCCGACGGTTTTGACACGGTAGGAGGTGGTTTGGATGATTCTCCAATCCCGTGGGGGACGGAGGGTGGTTGAGGAATTTCCCCAACAATTTCGACTGACCCGATCATGTCAGTATCGGGCTCAGTGATGGCGGGGAGGGCTTTTTCCTTCCCTTTGATTGAGACCTTGCTCATCTCCGCGCATTTCGGAGACTGGGCAAGGCCAGATACTTGCTCGAGAGCCCTCGGGTGGACTCTCGTGTTGTCCAACTTGGCGTTGGGACGCTTTTTTCGAACAGGTGGCATGACGAAAATGCCAGTGACTCGATCACAATTTTTTGATAGAATGCGACGAGCGCGTGAGGGAGGGAGACGGGAAAAAGGTGAAGATTCGAAAATTCGAATTTCAAAAAATCGTGTGTGTTGTGAGCTAGCACGACGTTAAATAATTATAAAAAAAAAAGTAGGGTTCTCCAGTCAACATTTACAACGTAATACCGTGTGCCACGTATCTTTCTAAAGAGTTCTGATAATCTTGTTTTTAACCTTGGCAGGGCCCAATGCAGTATTGCAGTTCAGATAAAAAGTGAGCACATTGGTCTCAATTCCTATTTGTATCGACGAAAAGTCCCCGGAGTGATTAATCCAAAATGTTAGTTTGGGAATCCGTCTCAAAATATCAAACATATGGTCTTGGTGTTTATTTATTTATAATATTTAACGTCGTGCCCGCGCACAGCACGTGAGCTCCTCACGTACCGGTTACCCAGTCTCAGCCCTGCAAACTCCACAGTGAGAGCTGGAAGCTTATAGGGGACACCGCTGATAGATGATTAGTTATTATCCCCCAATCTGTGTAGTTTTAAGTGTGGTCATTGATTGAAGGAGGTTCTCGCTCCAACACTAAATGAGATGGAGCTAGAGGTGAAATACTTCGTGGGAGGCCTTGAAACTATGTCTGATGGACCAAATTATGTATTACAATCTTCAAATATTCCTCAGCTCCGATAGTGTATTCAACTGCCAGGTTCGTAGAGGACAACGCTGAATTATAGTAAGGATACGACATTCCCAAATTATCAAAATCCACAAAAATATACTAATGATCGTACCATGTTTTCATTCGAGAGAAAAATTTGATAATGTGTAGGGCATATCCGTTATATGAAACAATTGGTGAAGTAGAGAGCCTTCATTCGTGATATTGCTAATGTGATCCAACTAAAATCGGACTTTGCGTATCCTGACTTACATGAGAGAAGTAGTCAAACTATTTTGCATGCAGTAGATCGATTTTATTATGACAATTTAATTACAAAAATTGCCTCATATCTTGAAAAGCTTGCCATTTTTAAATCCACTGCTTAACTTCTATACTTCAGGATTAAATCCGAACCAACTAAATTTAATGATGTAAAATGTGTCTGAGCTTTCGTTTGTAAATTCTAGGAATCTCTAGTTGTCTTTGACTTAACAGGGAAAAAGTCTAAAATTTAATCTAATGAGCTATTTTTCACAACTAGTGCTTAGGATAAAAATTTGGCCTTCCAAGTGGTCATGGTAGGCTAACCTGACTTCGCATACATCAGTTAAGATGACTCAAATCTGCTAAATTGTGGTGTTAATGAGCAGATCAGTTCTTGTGCATCTACCACTCTTAATAGTGGTCGTGATAAATGCTGAGAATTTGAATTAGGTAAGCCTGAGTGTTCTTCTCTTGCAGTTTAATGTCAACAGTTTTCTGTTAAGATGCTGAGGCGTGTGATGTGTAGCATTTCTGCTTTTGTTTTTGAAGCCGTGACAGCCGTCCAAGGATGTGAAAAATTATCCAATATAGACTTGTCTGCAAAAATTAGTAATATGAAGTTTAGTATGATCGATTCTGAATTCTGCTGAAGCTGTGACCTGCTTCCTATAATAGGGATAAATAGTAGTGGATCTAGATGCATGTGCTTATCTTAGCCTCTCTTTTGTGGAGAATACGGGACTTTCCATAAAAGCACCATCAGGGCATATACTGAAGATAGATTTGAGAAGATACTTAGCATGAGTAGGCTTAATCGAGTCAACATTTGTAAAAGACATCCAAATTAGATGTCTCTCGCCTTTAACAATAGCCTTAGAATTAGCTCGCCAACAAAACTTTTGAATATGTTGGAACATCAATCATCAGCCTCTATCTCACTCTTTAGGAACCTGATATGCTGATATAGAGGCTGTGTAAATCTTACCCATAGAAGCTAACTATTAAATGGCCTGGAACATTCAGAGTCTTTAACTTTCCGCGTCTTCTAGTCCGAAATTATCATACACGGCCAGTTTTGATTGCTTTGAGCAAAGAAGATTTTTTCATCGTGCCTATGTCAAAAGACCACATCTTTCGAATGAATCTTACTTCTTGATGCCGCGAGCGTTAACCTCGCCTCTCTCACCGATTCCCAAGGCGACCCTACATGAAGGACAGTACCACTTGGTTGTCCGAGGAGGAATATCTAATAAGCCAACACATTCTAGGTGGAACCATTCCTTTTCACACTGAAAATATTAACATTAGTCTTCAGATGATACTAACTAGAAGGACCCTTACCTTTGAACCTTCACAGCCAATCATTACTCCAAAACTAACCCGATTACAGTGACAGTATCGGGGCTCATCAGGATCAATTGGATTCCCTTCTTCATCAATTTCGTCATAGATTTCATCCGAAAACCTACTTTCGCGCCCATCTCTTTTATCTTTTTTATTGCCTGGCTTTTTTCGTGTCGCAGAACCTCGTTTACTAGCATTACTAGCTATTGGAGTGCCTGAGCTTGTGGTGATGACGTTGAGTTCAGGTCGTTTACCGCGTTTACCATGGCTGCGAGAATCGGGAGCAGGAGTAGTGCGAGCGGTACTAGTTCGACGTGGGCGATCAATTGTTGCAGTTGCGGTTAGTATACCTGCGTCAAGACCCAACTTCTGGCTACGAGATGTAGAATGTCGTTTAATGGAGGGGGCTTCAGTTACAGGAGGTAGAGGTGTGACGGGAGAAGATGTATCTGATGTGTGAGTGGGTTGAAAATTTGGTGCGACCTCTACACTTCTAAAATCTCTCTTTAAAGACTTCCTAGAGTCTTTTATGGGAGAAGAAATAGGGATTGAGGATTTTCGAGGTGATTTCATTGGAGATGAAGAGGTTCTTTTGACATGAGAATTATTTTGTATCGTTATGCTATGGTCTTCGTCGAGCAAGGTAAGTGAGGTGGATATGGATTGAGGCTCAATCTTTGTGACTTTTTTGGATGACGTTTTCAATGAAGAAATAGAGTGTGTCCCGGATTTAGCTCTCTTTTGTAAAGCCTTACACTCTTCTGATCCAGCTATAGTTTCGACTCTATTTTCCTCCTCGCCTTCCCTTTTTCGCTTTTTGACAGATATTTTATCCGGAATATTCATTGTAACCCCTTTGTTTGCTTGATCTTTAACCTCAGCCACGTTATATATCGTTTTTTTTGACTTTTTTTGGTTGATGGAGGGTTCCTTGACCTCTAATCCATGCTCTACAGCCGAATTGCTTTCTTGGATTACTTCTTGGTCTATAGCTGATGAATCATCTTGTCTCTCTTTGGTAACAATTTCCTGAGTTTTATTGGGCATCTTTTCTTGTGAGCCGATCGTGTCTGTAGCTAGTATAGCCTCTTGAAAGTTTTCTCCAACATGTTCCTCTATTTTATTTTGCATTTTATCTAGGGGCTTTTCTAAAATTCTAATTTGGTCCGCATTAGATAAATTTTCTTGCAACTTTTCTATGATGGTTTCCTGGGCTCTGTCAAGTGACACACCCATAGGCTTTTCTTGAATTTTATCTTCTTCTACAATGTATATATTCTCTTGGTATTTCTCTACAACAGTTTCCTGGGTTTTATCGAACGCCTTATCATATAGCTGTTTTTGAGGTTTATATTGATCTGCAGAAAAGTTGTCCTCTTGTTTCTTCTTTGTAACGATTTCCTGGGTTTCGTCAGGCGGATTTTCTTGAGTTTCGACTGAGTCTGTAGCTAGTGTGGCCTCTTGAAGGTTTTCTCCGACATGTTCTTCAATTTTATTTTGCGTGTTATCTAGGGGATTTTCTAAAATTCTAATTTTGTCCGCACTAAATGAATTTTCTTGCAACTTTTCTATGATGGTTTCCTGGGTTTTGTCAAATGACACACCCATAGGCTTTTCTTGAATTTTATCTTCTTCTTCAGCGAATATATTCTCTTGATGTTTCTCCGCAGTAGTTTCCTGGATTTTATCGAGCGATTTTCCCTTAATCAAATTATAGTCTGTAGCACATGTATTTCCTCGATGATTTTCCAAAAAGGTTCCCCTTTCTCTGTCGAGCGACTCATTTGAAGTATCTTGTTGAATTTTATCTTGGTCTATATAAGACAGGTTTTCTGGAGGATTTTCCAAAAAATTATGCTGAATTGGATTAGGAGATATATCTAAGGCCTTTTTTGGAGCTTGGTCTAAAGAATTCATTTTATCAATATCATTCCTTGCATTTTGAATAGTGCCGGTAATTATGCAGTGGAGCTTTTCAAAGGTTTCATTCTGGGATAAAGGAGTGGATGTGTGTTGGGGCATAAATTTATTTGCTATTTTCCAGTTGCTAGGGATCGTATCATGCATATCATCTTCGAGTGTTCCCATTCTTGAGACTTGAGGCAAGCCTTCGAGTGAGCTACGAGTGTTAACTTCAGTATGTTTCAGAATCGTGTCGCAAACTTTGTCATGAATCTGACCTTGAGACGCATCTTCGGCCTGATTCGGAAGCAATATTTTTAGGTCCTTATTTTCTGCATCTTGAGACTCATTTTTTACTTCGTGTTGTACCACCTCTCTTGTTTCGTGGCTGGAATTATTTTTCGTTCCATCTTGGAGCCTATTCTGGATTTCAGGTTGAGAGTGATCCTGACACATATCCTGAGTTCGATCCTGGTAACCTTCATAAGTTACGTCTCTCAATGTATCCTTGACTTCATCTACAGACCCATCATAATTTATATTATTGAATTCTTTAGACTTGTCTCGAATTACGTATTGGAGCTTTTCTTGAAGCCTTTCAGGAAATATGTCATGTAGCAAATCTTGAATTACAACTTTGGGAGATGTTCGATGTGCCTCGTGGCGTTTATCCTCATTTAAACCCTTAGTCACATGCCTCTTTCGACCTTGGATTTTTTTAGGAATATTCTTTTTGGGAGTTTCTAGGAAATCCGGATTTTCGATTTGTATTATACCTCGAAGATTTTCGTGAGGATCTTCTGAAGCTGAGTCTTGGAGCTTACATTGTATGGCTTCTTGAATTGGATCCTGAGGTCTATCCTGGAAATTAGTCATGATTACATCTTCGGATGCTTCTCGAGGGGTGCCAGTGGTTATGTCATGAGTTATATGGCGAGTTATGCCTTCAGGTATGTTTTTTTTCGAGCACTGCAAAGAAGGAATGACTGTGACTTTAATCGGACCTAGGGTTTTATCGTGAGGATTATCTTGCATTAAAATCTCAGGAGTTTCTACTATTGTGCCTATTTTCATTTCTTTCTTTAGAGCATTGGCCATTACTGTTGGCTCTTTATTCATGTGAAATAGATCCTTCATAGCTTCGGCGGAGGCTGCCACCTGTCTTGCGGCCTCCTCAGCCTCCTCGGCTGCTAGAGCTAGCTCTTTGTCCCTCCTCTGCTTCTTCATCTCATTCAATTTCATTCCCCGATTAAAGACCTGGGGCTCGAAGTTTCGTATGGCTTCTACACTGATAGCACCTTCGCCATGCACTGTTTCGCCTCGGATCTGAGGGGGCTCATTTATGTCAAAATATATACCAGCTTCCTCTGCTCGTTGCCTAGATATTCTATAGGCCTCAATCCCACGACCGAGAGATTTAAGCTCGCGTGCAATCATAGTGTCGCTCGGGCTCCATATGGCGTTTTTTTTCATCCTCTTCCGCAACTTGGCAAGTTCCCATGCGTTTAATTGTAACCATGGAAGATCTTTATCGCCGGGTTTGGCATCAGGTGGCGGGGGCTGAAGTTGGGCTAGCGCGTTGCTCGTCGATATGCCTGCGATGGAGCTGTGAACATTCGTTCCCATCATCCCCGGTACGCGGGGGGTGCGAGATTCTTTCTCTTTTTTCCTACCCTTGCCCGATATCCTAAATTTCGGCTTTGGGCGAGATTGGCCTCCGGTTGATAATGTAGCCTCCATTACGATAGGTGAAACCTCTTCCGAATCATAATTATCACTTTCTTCGGTATATGACGGATAGTCACACTCGTAGGGTGCGAGAACCTCCCCCGGAACTGTGATCCTGAGGGCGCATTTTTTTCGTGGACGATTTTCGGATGTGGGTGCGTCTGATTGCAACCGGGGTTTCGGCGTACGAATCGTAGGAGGTTTGGGTTTGGTTGATGCTACAGTGATTTCCTGAGTGGGATAATTATCCGCTATATCACGCAACTTAACCAGTATATCTTGGATGCGATTGTGATGTCGTCGCACGATTGTTAACATACGACATGCTTCAGCATGCGCTAGGGTGCGAGCTTTTGCTGCATCATCGAGGTTCCTTGAAATGTCCGCACGCAGGTCCACAGGATCTAGTCGCCTTTCGGCAGGCATAGACGGAAGAGAACCATATTTTTTGGTAAGATCATGAACATTCTTCGAGGCAGTGCAATAGCTCTGGTCAAGATTGCCGACTAGGGTAAGGGACCGAATAATGTCCGAAGGTAGATACTCTGTGAAGTCAAGGAAGTCAGTAACGGTGGCTTGTGCGTCTGGGTCCATAGGAATATCTAAATCTTCCATGCTATTTTGTAAATTCAATATAGACTGCATGACCTTTTCAAGTTCCGCTCTATTACACCAAGGCCTTGTGGTTTTTGTGGAATCAAGAGCGTGGACGGGCGCATTAGTTGAGGTCATTTGAGTTGTTAGATTAGAGTCATCCATAGAAACATGTATTGGATTAATTAAAGGTTGAGATGTTTTCATGCGACAGGACCAGATGCCACTGTTGTCAATCCATCTGCTAGATGAGTCAGAATCAGAGTTATGAACGACGGTTCGGTTTCACCTTGGCTTCCCTCATTCCTGAGGCTGAGCCGTGCACGTGAAAATGTGGAAACAATCAAGAACTGCTTGTAGACATACCGTCGTGAAGCGTTTAGAGCCATTTGAGAAGTCTTCCCTAGATGGAAATAAGAAAAAGGATAATCTCCCTTGTGATGATTATTTCGCGGTCAATGTGGCGTGTCACGGGCTTCATATAGAGGCAAGTTTGAGATGATAAATCTAGTCCTTCTGTGGCTGGTGCTGGTGCACAGCTGCTTTTTCATTACCCCTAAATCCCAAAGCGGCAAACTATGCCATCATCCCTAAGCATGTACGAGAAATTAAATATCCATGTAGTACATGTACAATAAACAAGCTTTCAATCAATTTTGATATTAATTTTGAACACATTTTTGAACGAGATAGCCTCATTCCACACTCTCCGCCCGGCAACGCCGTTCCCAAAACCACAAAGTCTCATCACTCTGTATCATTTTATGCCACCGCGATTAAGCCCAAAGCAAGTCCTGTTGTGCCGGATGCAAAAGTCCAAAGCGCCGAGTATACCAACGCGCCTGTAAATTCTACTCCCTTGACTGCGAAGTGAGTTTGCACAAATGTGTTGGTGCCAGTCACAAACATTAAAGTAATAGTACGAGTGATAATCACTCGCGTCCAAGGTCGGAACCCGCGCATGCAATAGTGTAATATTCTTGGCACCATCGCCGCCTTGGAATGAGCTACAGCCTGATTTAGATCCGGGGTAATTAAAGACGGGGTAAAAACAAAACATTTGACTGCAAGTCCGAGCAAAAGAGTTGCTGGGAATTGCGTTATGTAAAAAGGGCTATGAACCGCAGTGATATTTGGAATATTATTGAAGTAGGTAACTAGGTAAAATGGTAGGAAGGTTCTGTATGCTGTGAAGATAGTCACTGCATATAAAGACGCAGTACATATCACAAGGTACGCCTGAATGACGTTTGATGTTAGAATCTGACTGTTCGTGATAGATGATAAATTTTGGTGTGAATCAATAGTGTGGGCGAGAGAGATTGAACGAAGGAATCGAAATGAAATGTAGGCCACAAAAATATCGATGAGGAGAAAAGAGGCCATGACTGTCGGTGCCATTTCATAGAAAGTTACGAGTAGGTAGAGCTATCCCATTGTTAGTAATGTACCCATGCCAATAAAGCTGTTAGCTGTAGCTCACTGGCGGACTATGCGATAATAAAGTAAGAGCTCCCATATCGTAACTATCGTAGCCCGCAAACCACCCAATACCCAGTTCAGTCCTGCCGATAAAATTAGTCAAGGAACTCCACAATCAAAAACTCCTGGCACCCACATTTTCCAACACATTAAAACACTGATATCTACCCATGAATCCAATGGCTTCCAAAAACGGACGTTGAGTGAGGGTGCAGTTGTCTTTGCGAATGAATATAGCAATGAAGAGATGGTCATGTTCAATAACAAGACACAAGCATACGCAGAAATAGACTGGGTTTTACATATGTCTTTGCATGCATTTTTTCCTGCGACGCCCTCTTTTGTGACGGCCATTGCAATGAAGAGCAAAATTGTGGTTGAGCTTTTTATTGAGAGTTGCAGATGTCAAGGAACGGCGTTGGATGCGTGACGCACCACTTTGGATCATGTCAGGCTGGCCCTGACGTCACTACACAGTAAGCCTTCACTTATTCGCTTCTAGCGTGAATTCATCGCCTCATGAGTTGGAAGTTATTAAATGGAGTCCTTGTCTGTGACTATGATGTGCCAGATAACATTTCGGAGATAGAATGGTAAGAACCATAAATTTCCAATGGCCAACCTTTCCCTTCAATTTCCAATTTTTTAATAATTTCTATATATTTTGTATGTTTATATATTCAGCTGCGTCTATACATGCTGCTGTTCAATTTCAGACGAGCTTAAAACCAAGCCGTCTACAGCTCCTGGTAAATGTTGGTCTTACACCAACGTAATTATTCTAATAATGCATCCGTTGAACCCATGCATTCTGCTACTACAAAAAGATAACTGATATGTGACTGATGCTCAGCTAGAGCCACGTGGGAATAAAATTAAGCACATTATTCCATGCGTCCGAATACACCATCCTCATCCTCATCGCTTCGACCTGGCGATCGCTGATCGCAGTCGTCATCATCCGTGGCACTTTCTTCACTTTCCATGTTAACATCTTCATCGTTGTAGGCTTGAGTACGGGTGTAGCTTTCCGGTTGCGAAGGATGCTGACCCGGGATAAAGGCAGGACGAAATATGTTTCTATGACCCAAATACTGCGGTGGAATATCGGGTACGGATGGTATCTGTTCGGAAAGAAGGATCGAAGATGGGTCAAGAGGTGCTGTATTTCCAAAACTACAAGAGAGCAGTTGCACGGCAGAAGCTAGACTCTCGTCTTCATGATTCCCGTTATTTAGGCTAGAAGAGGAGGAACTTCTTTCGGTACTATATTTTCCACGATTTCCAACGAGCGAGATATGTGGAACACTCCTACTCCTGAGGAAGGTGGTTGGAGATGCGGTTAACTGAGACTGGGAGAAACTACTTCCATTATTTTGTCTTTTATAGCGACTAGAGTATAAACTCCGCAAGCACTGATTATCCATATCAGCTCGTGGTGAGGGTGTAGTATTAATAGAGCTAAGGTGATCATTTCTTTCGGACGATCTAGAAGCCGCTGGCGAAGACGATTCATGATCACTCTGGATATCTCGAGCTGAGTGAGGCGAGGTACTGATATCTTGCGTCATGGTAAGGAGTACTGAAGCTGCTTCTAATAACTGTACCTGTTGGTGTTTCGAGATTAGAAGCTTTGAGGTGTATGACCATTCGGGGGTGTGCTCCCATCTGCAATAAAAAGTTAACTGATGCTTTACTATGCAATGATACATTCTGTTGTGTTTCCAACGCTGCCTATGCTTGTTTTTCTAGAGAAGAGGGAGAAGACGAACAAATGCTTTGATAGACAGCTACTGTGCTTATATCCCTTGCCACATTTATCACACTTCAAGTCATTTGAGCTTGTCTTTTTTCCATCTTTTGTATCATTTTGGCTATCACTAGCTCTGCGCGTAAAATTATGTTTTGATTCTGAGCCTCCCTCATCTTCGTCACCTGTGTCATCCATTTGGTCGTCCTCAATGGCACTCTCGCTCATATCAATCTTACTGCCAAAGTTTGGATTCAGCCTCGTTTTTGTTGTAGGCAGGCTCATGGGAGGCGATGGAAGACTCTCCAGGTTATTTGATCTAGCTGAGGCACTTTTGGATATGTTGGATCGACGACCGACAATCGGTATCCCTTGCGGAAACTCCGCTATATCTCGCACAGCTGCAACCATAACAGCGTTATTTGTCGATACACTCTTCCGGCGTGTGACACGGTGGTTTGATATTAGGGATCCTGTAGAGCTTGAGTGTGGATGTACCCGGCTATTCGATTTAGGTAAAGAGGCAGTCGTCATTGAGAGTCGGCGTTGGCCGAGAGGTCTGGAGGGATGCTGGATTTCCTATCAGATGTCCATATCAGCCCGCCTGTATATGAATAGAAATCGATATGAGAGGTGTTATTCTCACTTTAGACGAAGCCATCGTTACAGCTGGCAAATACACTCTATTTTCCCAGGATTCAGCAGTAAACTTGCTAGAATTGTGGGTAGTTAGGCCTTGAGGTTATCGAGAAGAACGGTTAGAGGAAATGTAAGTGGCTCAGTAGCAATTTTAAGTGTATGAACGGGATTCTTCAGCGCATGAATTGAACTCCAGACTGCAGGCTTCGGCGCTGGATGAAGCGTCGACCAAAGCTAGTGAGCTGCCAGAGCTGGTGTTTGTTAAGTTCGATGGGTGTACAGAAATTTGTTTGTCTTTTAATGACTGAAGACTATTTAGTTTATTTAATTGGGTGCCTGTTGTCTTTCTTCCTATCGTTGAAGGCTGCGAAGTTTTGCTGGATTCAATAAAAAAAAAAAAGATAAACTTAAATTGTAAAAGATGGCAAGATTAGGGATTTGGCATGTGAACAGATATTGTTTCAACTTTATCATTAGAAGCTAAGTCACTGGTGGTGCCGTTGTTTTTAATATTTGCTACGCTGGGCTAAGAAAAGTTGAGGGATGACCAGCTTTGAGACCAGACCTGCAGCAGCATGCGGGGTTCAGACCTCCGGGGGGAGGGGGGTATGATGGGAGGGGCTGAGTCTGGCGTACGGGATTGGGGAGAGTCGAGAAAGGAACAAGACAAGGTAAGATTGATATTCAACTGATTATTGTGATGAGGCAGAGGCAGTAGAATGATGGTAGGATCAAGCTTGTAGTGCAGTAGGAGCATGATATGGGCAGAGTATTCACATAGTGAGAGATATTTATTAATCCGAACTTATTCTTACCAGAGCTACCAGGGCTGTAACGAGCGGAATACAGAATGATTCCCGCTTCTCAGCCCACGCGATGTGACTTGCTAGGGTTGAGGTTGGGGTTGGGAGAAGCGAAGGGCCGTCCATTGTTTGGCTGGGAAGAGGGTGCGGAACAAGAATGACAATACTTGCCAGAAATCATCATGACCTGCCGACCGCCGACCTTGACAGGAATAGTCCATGATCAATAACTGGCCCTCTGCCCGGGGCCTTGCACGGCCCCCTGCCAACATAAACTCGTCACGCTTCATCGTTAATAACACGCCCGCCACCAATCGAGGGAAGACAGGGGTATTCGTCCATTGACAGACTTATAGCGAGGATGAGGGCGTGCGGCCAGATGTAGAATTCGAAGGCGTATGACTAGGGAGACTTGGTAATATTATTGAAGGAGAATGGAATGCACTTAGTCTAAAGGGCATCTAAGTAAGGGGATGAAGGATGTGCTCGAGCCGTAACGGCATTTGAACAGACCTTGTCTAGGAGCTGGTTAGAAATGAAGGATTCCATGATAATGGCCAGTAGCAAAAAACGTAATCCTGCTAGTTGTGGGACCTGACGCTCACCACAATTTTGGCTTTCATGCGAGAGGGCCGTATTGTCTCGAGATATCCGTCCTTGTCAACATTGCTAAAACGCCGAGACAGCTCATGGCACTAGCAGCAACCGCCACGGCTCTACACGCAGACCAACAATCAAGTACCAGAACATGCATCGTCTTCGACCGATGATACTTTGCAATGCGAGCCTACCTAGTGCGGTAATTTGAAGACGCAAGAGCTCAACACGTCGGTCTCTTTTTCTCTTGCACACGTCCCTTGCTTGGTCCGTGAGCCACATTTCCATTCTTATACATGCCAATGAACCTGAAGAGATCGGCGCTGTGATGAAGCACGGGCTCTGGTCAGGTGGGACGCGCGCAAACGCAAACGAGAGGCGTACGGGTCAGTCATGGGAAGGGGAAGAGAAGGGAAAGAAAAAAAAGGACGGGAAAAAGGATAAGAAAAAGATGTAGGCAGTGTGAAAGGCCCACCAACGCAAACATCTCAGTGGAATGAGATAGACGGCAACGATTGAAGAATAGCAGGGTAGCTGACGACGAGGTAATACGTGATCTGATTGTGCATCACAGGCTGACTCAATGAAAGACAGGTAGATTTTCTCTGTCGGTAGTCCGGGAACACCGATGTCCCCGAATACAGTCTCATATCGCCAGAAGACGGGGGCGAGATAAGTGGAAAGAAACGACAATAGGACCACACTGGTCTGGCGTCACTCTCCGGGCTTATAAATAGAATTCGCCAAGCATAATTACCGAGTTGGGCTAGGCGGTAATGGGGCGACGGGTGAGGATAAATAAGGTTGAGGCGGGGCTGCCTAGTAGGCCGCGATTGGGTACGATATGATAGGCTATTGTCCTGTTGGTTCTAAGAGTATATGGGACATATAGGTCCCACCTGTCTACAGGCCAAAAGTACCTATGCTGCGTTCACGGCCTCTGTTTATCGGTAGGACTCCAACTGGTCTTCCTTCAAGTGTACACACGGGCTCCTATGTCTCGTCGCTACCACCCCTTCTCAGCCAGCTTCAAGAAGGTCATTTGCGCGTGTAGGTTGTAGTAAGGTGAGCGACCATGGGAAGCTTACTCAATCATCTTCGTGGTCACTATTGCTTATAAGCACCCCTAACTTCGTCATTTATTATATATTCGGATTCCAGAAAACTAAAGATCCCATCAATGAGCTGTAGCAAGTATGCAAGATGATTTTTCTTCTTCTCGTAACTGTCCCAGGACAAGTGTAAGACGATTCTGGCGACCAAAATGCAGTCCGATATTGTGAAAAAAATATTTCGCCCTTGGATGGCGCAGCCGAGACGAAAGGAGCACGACTTAGCTGGTTACTTCCTGCATGAATGGCACACATATTTTGTAACCCTATATATCCATGATCCCCTCTAGCTCAAGGATCACGCATGCCAAATAGGAAATTGCAATATAGCTTCATTGTCGAGTAACTTGGGCCACCTAGTCCAGTATGTGGAATATAGCTAGCTGTTCCCAGCCTTGTCACAGCGTTAGTAATAGACGAGGCCTAGATAGAGGCTCGACTTGTAGTCATAGG